TTCATCTGGTTTTCCCCAGAAATTGGGATTGACCGTGGGCACCTTACAGACATTATATGGGATTGTGGGGTGTGGGCACCCTGCCCATAGTTTATTGCGTATTGCCTTCTCTAAAGGCTTGAAGCAATATATATATGAATAGAAGGACACCATTTCAGACTGTGAATGACGCAAATCATTAGTGCCAAACTGGGGATCACCTTGTGGGACTAAAATTCTACAGTCTTCCCCAGAGACCGGTAAACTTACCTCAACCCCAGAGGGTTTGACCGGCAGCGTGCCGTGAGAGGAGATGGTCACCTCTCTATCAACACCATTGACTCTGGTTCAAACTAATCATCCGAAGAATCTGTAAGGGACTAAGGGAACTCTTCCTCTATATTGCTCAGCTCAGACTCAAACAAATCTAATTGGGTTTTACCCTCTTCCAACGACTAGTCGATTTTGCCTGGCTAGTGGCTCATTTGCTCTGTGATATATTTAAAGCGCAATCAGTGACTGGTGGTGTACTGTCCATCTCAAGTGGTTTGGAGGAGTGTTTGAATTTGGATAATGCTTTGCAGCCTGCGTGTGGTGGATTAGGTGCTGATAAAGGCCGTGCTTTAACTGAACCGGGTGAGAGTTGAAGGGATGAGCATGTACGCCTAGTTTGGAAAGTAAAATACAAGGAGCAGCTGGACAAGAGGTAAAATAACAGAAAATAAATAGTGAGAAAAATACAAAAGAAGGGTAGACCCCCAAGACTTCCCTAAGCCCCACTGAAAGAGTATAGGCCAGGGAGGTCAAATGGGAAACTTCAAAATCTAAGACACAAAAGGATAATACAAAAACAGATAAGGGAATACACAAAGTCAATAAAACATAGTAATCATGATAAACAATGATAATAAAAACCAATAATATTATTAAACTATATGACCATAAGAGCAATAATAGAAATCACACAGTTAAGAACCAGGGGACTAGGTTGTACTTAAAGGGACACTCCACTGCCCAAATACAAAATAAATAAAACTCACTTGTTAGCAAATACACCCCAAATGAAAATGCATTTTTTCATTGGAGTTACATCTAAAATCAGTTTGCAAAACTGCAGTTCTCTTGTCTGCTGCCTTTGCAATTCATAATTTTAACAAACAATTTTATTCATAATGGTATGCTTAGCCTGAACATTGAAGGTACAGTGGTTATGTGCTGTTGTTTTTTGCTGCTGAGGGAAATATAGAAAGAGTTCAGCATAAAAGGAGCTTCCGTGTCATTAATAAAATATTGTAACAATATTTATCTTCTGGATCAAAAGATCACTTGATTAGGACCTTCTTTGACAAGTGTTGTTCATCTCTTATGTACAGTAAAAAAAATCCAAAAAAAAACAATGTCAAAAAAGTCATAAATTGATTTACATGTCAATGAGTGAAAAAAGTATTTGACCCCTTTGACTTAGTACTTGGTTGCAAAACCCTTGTTGGCAATCACAGAGGTCAGACGTTTCTTGTAGTTAGCCACCAGGTTTGCACACATCTCAAGAGGGATTTTGTCCCACTCCTTCTCTCAAAGTCATTAAGGTTTCGAGGTTGACGTTTGGCAACTCGAACTTTTAGCTCCCTCCAAGGATTTTCTATGGGCTTAAGGTCTGGAGACTGGCAAGGCCACTCCAGGACCTTAAAGAACCACTGTAGTGCCAGGAAAATATACTTGTTTTCCTGGCACTATAAGGTCTCTAGGTCCCCCCCACCCTTCGGGTCCCCCTCCCGCCGGGCTCTAGGTTGAGGAAGGGGTTAAACACTTACCTTTTCTCCACTGCCGGGCTCCCTCGGCGGTGGGGACTCTCCGCCTCCTTTCCCCGTCACTGGCTGAATGCGCATTCGCGGCATGAGCCGCGTGCGCATTCAGCCAGTCCATAGGAAAGCATTCTCAATGAAGATCACAGTGAGAATCGTGGAAGCGCCTCTAGCGGCTGTCAATGAGACAGCCACTAGAGGCTGGATTGATTCTTTGAAACTGCTATGTTTACAGCAGAAAGGGTTAATCCTAGATGGACCTGGCACTCAGACCACTTCAATAAGCTGAAGTGGTCTGGGTGCCTATTGTGGTCCTTTAATGTGCTTCTTCTTGAGACACCCTTTTTTTGCCTTGGATGTGTGTTTTGGGTCATTGTCATGCTGGAATACCCATCCACGACACATTTTCAATCCCCTGGCTGAGGGAAGGAGGTTCTCACCCAAGATTTGACGGTACATGGCCCCGTTCATCGTCCCTTTGATGTGGTGCAGTTGTCCTGTTCCCTTAGCAGAAAAACACCCCCAAAGCTCGATTTTGGTCTCATCTGACCACAACACTTTCACGCAGTACTCCTCTGAATCATTCAGATGTTCATTGGCAAACTTCAGATGTGCCTGTGCACAGTATTTCAATCCTTCACGGCGTAGAGTGTTACCAATTGTTTTCTTGGTGATTAACAAGATCCTCCCGTGTAGTTCTGGGCTGATTCCTCACCGTTCTTAGGATCATTGAAACTGCCCAAGGTGAGATCTTGCATGGAGCACCAGACAGAGGGAGACTGACAGTTATTTGTGTTTCTTCCATCTGCAAATATTTGCACCAACTGTTGTCACCTTCTCACCAAGCTACTTGGCGATGGTCTTGTAGCCCATTCCAGCTTTGTGTAGTTCTACAATCTTGTCCTTGACATTCTTGGAATGCTCTTTGGTCTTGGCAATGGTGGAGAGTTTGGAATCTGACTGATTGTTTTTGTGGACAGGTGTCTTTTATACAAGTAACGAGCTGAGATTAGGAGCACTCCCTTTAAGAGAGTGCTCCTAATCTCAGCTCGTTACCTGTATAAAAGACACCTGTCCACAAAAACAATCAAGCAGTCAGACAACTGGGAGTCAGAAATCTTGCTGATTGATAGGGGATCAAATACTTATTTCACTCATTGACATGCAAATCAATTTATAACTTTTTTGACACACGTGTTTCTTGATTTTTTTTTCTATTCTGTCTCTCACTTTTAAAATAAAATTTATTAAAATTATAGACTGATCATTTCTTTGTCAGTGGACAAATGTTCAAAATCAGCAGGGGATCAAATACTTTTTCCCCTCACTGTATAGCATACCACCACTGAAATATTGTAAACCAGTCCAGAAAATTGTGTACGGTGTCCAGGATAGAGGTTTCCCCAGACTGGAATGCGTGGCACTCCTTGAATTGATGTATAGTGGAGCTGCTGAGTTAACACCTCCAGGTGCTTTTTAAAGCAAGTATATTGTACGTGGCAATGTAATTTGTTGCATGTGATATGTGCTTAGTCACCTCCTTCAATAATCACTAGTTCAGCTTAGAATAGACTCTTCTACATAAACTGGCATTATGGATCCAGTAATAAAAAATAAATAAAAATGAATTTAAAACAAACTCAAGTATGGGACTTAAAGTATGGGACTTAAATCGACTAAACTTGGCAGAGAACCAAGTGGAAGGACATGTGAATCTCCAGCATGCCGTCCAACATTTCAAAACTGACAAAGAGGAGCACTTTCATTGTAGTTGTGTGAGTGGGGGCAAGGACAGGGGTGAGGCTGAGAAATTTATGACAAGAAGAATGTATCTTAGTTACACAGACTGATTTCTGTTACATCATGAGCAACCGTCAACAAATTAATCACATGGGAATAATATTTTATGAAATAAGCGTGTAGTAGTTTTCACAACGGCAGTCAGTTTATTCATTGGACAATTCTCTGCCACCTTAGCTTTAATTCCCTGAGGGAAGGTTCCAACTATTTAGCTGCTGCTGCTCTTCTGTCAGCCAAGGCGATTCTATTGTAAAGTTTTTGAGATCACCTAAGAAGGTCCTCCAGAGGGCAAGAGCAGAGGAACGGTCACAGGTCAAGGACAAAGGGGCATTGGAAAAAAGTTTCCAGTTTTGTTTGTTTTTTCTTTACTTTACACTGGACATCTTCAACATACGGATATAAGATCACGGCGAGCAGAGGTCATCAGTGTTCTTGCCCACTTGGAATAGCCACCAACATCGAAATAATAGTTGCGATCTCCCAAATGTCCCGCCAACAGCCTACCCCAAGTACCTCATTAATATCCACTTTCCATTGATAGAACAAAAAAGTGGTATACGGAGGAGATTAAACTCTTAGGGGTAGTCCCTACTTCACAAAGAGACTCGTAAAAGGTGAGCCCCCTATGCGCAGCTTGAGCCCTATCGACCTGGGGGGGAGGGTGGGGGGCAAAGTCTCTGAGCTGTATATACCTAAAGTCAGCTGGAGATAGGGGAACCGTTTGACTTAAGTTGTCAACAGTGATAACTTATATATTACATATTTCTCCATAAATCTAAGCCTCTCTAAGGAGGGATGAGTAGAGTCAGGCAATTTGGGCAGATTAAGGGACGCAAAAAAGGATTCTAATGTTCTTCTATATGAAACCTGATTGTAGCCCCCTGATCTGGGGTATGGGTGTATAGGGAATGAAATAATCAGGTAAACTCGCTGCTTATATGCTCAGGCAAAGAGACCAACTCCTTTAACTGAGTACGTATAGTTGCTATAGACTCTCTACCTAGGTAGACCTAGGTGAGAAGGAGTATTTTGTAACCAACAAGGAAATGTTATTACAAGGAGGGAGCTTTGTTATATGTGAGTCGCATCGGAATTGTTCCAATGCGTTTCCTTTTTCATACATATTAATGGTCTTGAATAAAATTTACAAGTAATCATCGTCATCTTTTTCCCTCCGTTTACAGTGACGCTGCCCTCTAGCTTAATTTAAATAAACCCTTAATAGATGAAGTTATACTTAGCTGCGTTAAAACAAGTCCCCTGCTATAACTCCCTTATCTGAATACATTTATTGTTTCCATATGTAATTGTCATGCTCAGAGCTTTTCTGTGTGTTAAATTATGAAACCATAAGTAATAATGACACCTCTTCTATGTTGTGTTAATGATTAACTTAATTACATCTCTATTGACTTTGTGGGCTAGTGAGAGGGAGCAGTGCTTTTTGCTCAGGACTTGTACTGTACTTCCTGTAGGCACATGAGACAGAACAATATTATATGATAGTATTTTCCTTTCCAGTCATTCTCTGTGCTTAGCATGCGAGGTGCACATAGCAGGCTGTAAGTAACTTTAACTTGTTTCTATATATTTTACAAAATCCTTTTTTCATTTCATTGCGTTCAATTTCACAGCACTACAGTAAAACATGAATTGAGCAGTAATATACAGAATGATAATTTTATGTTTTTGCTCCACTTTTCTGAATTCAGATAAGAGAAGATAAACCAATTTGTTTAAAGGAAATTATGTTTTAAGTATTAGATGAGAGAATTTACAGATTTTATAGGGATTTATAGAGCTTTTTTACTAAACATTCAACCAACTTGCAAATCTTAGGCCAGCTGAGATCCTGCTCATGAAATCTCTGTCTATGTTCATTTATCAAAAGATTGGATTTTTGTAAACCAGCTTGGTAAAGCCAGGCCAGAATAGACAATAGACAAAACCAGCTGCAGTTTGTCTAAATTGGACACAATTTCAATTTAAGCTATTTCGACCTACATTTTCCAAGTCAGCGGTGAACTCACGGCTTATTTCTTAAATCTGTAAATACTGTAAATGAGGGGTCATAGAACTGCAATACGTATATTGACACAGGGCTGGACCTTATTACCTCAGTGTCTGACTGCCCATCATTATTTAATGTAGATAAATGTAAAAAAATGCTTTTGACAAAAATCAGTCAATCTCTCTGTCCCAGTCTTGGTTAACGTGAGGGTTTTTTGTCTGTGAAATCATTGTTAATTTGTGTGATTGCCTTTCAGCATAATAGTACAATATATTACAAAAATCCCATGTGTCCCTATTTTGAAAGGACAGTCCCTATAAATATATATATACCCACTGTACAGTGCTACGGAATCTGATGGCGCTTTATAAATAATAAAACAATAATAATATATTGGGACCAAATCCCTCTGTCCCCCTCTCCTGTCCTAATGTTCATATTTTCTATATTATTGGTGTGTCTGAGTGTATCACAGAGCTCCATAATATTCACAGTAATGAGTCTTCACAGTACAATAAATGTGTTTCGAAATTAGTCTATGTAAATAAGATACTTATTTATAAATAATAATTAATAGATAAAATAAAATTAATTTTAGCTGCATAAATTGTTATGAGTAAGTCACTAAAAAATTATTCAGAACAACCCTGCCTCAGGTCACATTTCCATCCTGAAAATTAAAGTGTCCCTCATCACCCATTTATGGGTGGTATGATATTGTGTGAACAGTGTTCCTGTATTTGCACAATTTTGTGTATATCTGTGTCCTGTATGTTGTTTTAATGATGTCTGTATGTGTGTATGTTGGTGTGAATGTGACTGCAGTGTGTGTGTGTGTGTGTGTTTCTGTGTGCACAGTACAAGGGCAAAATTATGTCAACCAGACTAAAATTTGAATTGGGCATTAAGAACCTGTATTACACATTTTTAAAGGTCATGTCCTCCACATGTAACATACACTTGGCATAATACTCATTCAGGCTTATGGCTGGACTGAATGGAGTTATTTAGTTAGTTATCTTATTTAGTTATCTTTCCCTATCTACTCCCAGTCATTCTAGTCCCCCAGATATCTCCGTCACCTGTCTATTTCCCATTCGTGCTGTGTGAAGTGTTAAGGCTGAGACAAAAGATGCAGAGCTGCCCAAGACACTCACTGGTCAGTCGCACCCATGGGCTGCCGGAGGGTGGATTCTGAGTAGCTATCTAGTCCACATTCTGCATGTCAATCAAATTAGGGATTCTCTAAACATTACAGCTTATAGTGAGATGGCATGCCCTATGTATGTGTGCTCACCCAGGTCTCGCACCCTTGCTCTAGCTACCCATTTAAATTTTGTTATATGGTTATTTTTTTGTTTTTTTTCTGGCTCTGTGTCTCAGGCTTTGTTCCATCTCTTTGTTTGGCCCTCTGTGTCTGTTTCTAACTTTTTCTACCCTCTCTCAATACATATTTAAATTGTTTTCTTCTGCTATCAGACTGTTCTTCCTCTTTTGTCTTTGTCTACACTGTGTGTGTGTGTGAGGTGCAGTGTCAGTGAGGGTGCAGATCCTAGGCCCTTCCCTCCCTCTGCTGGAACTAAGTGCCAGCGGGACGGTGAGGAGATCTTTGATCTCTTCACCAGCCCGAGAGGGCTTACTGCAAGGCTGGCTCTGCTTGGGCCGGCAGAGGAGATGAAAGGATCCCCGTGGCTGACCATGGTCCACGGCCATAGAGACCCACTGGGTGTTTTCTGCAGAACCCACCACCGCCCAGGTAGAGACCAGGTTTACTACCCCTGATCTAGTAGCTGCTTGAACATCTATATGGATTCTGATAAAACCACTTCTCCAGGAAGAGAATTCCACATCCTTATTGTTCTTACAGTAATGTAAAGTCCGATTTGTTAATAGATTTCCAGACAATGGTTTGTATTGGCCCCGAATATATTTGTATAATGTTATCATATCCCATCTCAGGCGATGTTTTTCTAAACTAAATAGGTTTAAATTTGTTAACCTGTCTGATATGTTCAATTCCTTTTATTAATTTTGTAGCCCGCCTCTGCACTTTTTCTATGAATGATATCATTCTTTAGAACAGGTGCCCAGAATTGCACAGCATATTCAATATGTGGTCTTACCAGTGATTTATAAAGAGGCAAAATTATATTCTCATCCCGAGAATGAATGCCCTTTTTCATGCATGACAATATCTTACTAGCCTTAGCCACTGTTGATTGACATTGCACATTGTTGCATAGTTTGTTGTCTATAACAATTCCCAAGTCCTTTTCGTGTGTTGTTATCCCTAGTTCGCTTCCATTAAGGGTATACGTTGCTTGTGTCTTCTTTACGCCGAAGTGCATAACTTTGCATTTTTCAACATTAAATTTAATCTGCCATTTGAGTGCCCAGTCCCCCAGTCTATCTAAATCTCTCTGCAGCAAAGTAATATCTTGCTTACATTGTATTATTTTACAGAGTTTTATGTCATCTGCAAACACTAAAACATGACTTTCAATGCTTTTTTCAAGATCATTTATAAACATGTTAAATAGAAGGGGTCCCAGAACAGAACCCTGAGGGACACCACTTGCCACCTCTTTCCAGCTTGAAAATTTACCATTAATGACAACTCTTTGTACTCTATTTTTAAGCCAATGTTCTACCCAAGAACATGCATTTTCATCTAGGCCAATTTCCTTGAGTTTGAACACTAATCTATTGTGTGGAACTGTATCAAATGCCTTGGCAAAATCCAAATAGATCACATCCACTACAACACCCTGATCTATACTTCTTCTTACTTCTTCGTAGAACACAATCAAGTTCGTTTGACATGACCTGTGCTTCATAAAACCATGCTGATTTTTGCTGATAACCATGTTCTTCTCAAGGAATTCTTGAATATTATCCCTTAATAACCTTTTACATATTTTCCCAGCCACAGAAGTTAAGCTCACAGGTCTATAATTTCCAGGCAAGGATTTTGAACCCTTTTTAAATATAGGAACCACATCTGCCTTCCTCCAATCCTCTGGAACACTTCCTGAAAGAAAGAATCTTGAAAGATTAAAAACAGAGGTTCACTTATTTCTACACTTAGTTCCTTAAGTACTTGTCTATGGATACCATCAGGCCCTGGAGCTTTGTTTATATTAACTTTCTTTAGTTGCTGCAGCACCTTGAGTTACCCAATTACAATTATTCTGAAAGTTTTTAGTAGCAATCATTTGCACATCTATTGCCATGGGTTCTTCCTTAATATATACCCTCCGTATATATTAAGGAAGAACCCATGGCAATAGATGTGCAAATGATTGCTACTAAATAGTTATTTAAAATTCCTGGCTTTTCCTGGTCTTCATTAACTAACTCCCCCACTTCAGTTTTTAGTGTACCTACACTTTCATTTTTTGTTGTTTTAGAATTTATGTACTTAAAGAATGATTTAGGGTTGGTTTTGCTCTCTTTGGCTATCATTTTTTCATTTTGAAGTTTAGCAAATCTAATCGCCTTTTTGCAAGCATTATTGGCTTCCTTATATCTTTTATAGGATGTATCTGATTTTTCCGATTTAAATGCTTTAAATGCCCTTTTCTTATTTTTAATCTCGTTTTACTTCTCTACTAAGCCACATTGGTTTTGAATTTACATTTACCTTCCCGTCTCCGTCTGTCTCTCTTTATGCATGTCTCTTACTGCCATAACTCTCTGTGCCAGTGTTATTCATTACCTTTGTGTCTGTCCCTTGCGTACCTTTACTGATGCTATTGGCAGCTTATAGAAGTTATTCTAGTACAGAGAGATCCCTCTAATCCATATTATGGTTAATCATCAACACAACATAGAAGAGGTGTCATTATTACGTATGGTTCTATAATTTAACTCACAGAAAAGCTCTGAGTACGACAATTACATATGGAATCAATAAATGTCTTCAAAAAAGGGAGTTAAAGCAGGGGACTCGTTTTAATGCAGTTAAAATTAAGGGAGACAATATAGGCACTATAACCATTTCATCTTATTGAATTGGTTAGAGTGCCTAGAGTACCTGTAGTGCTAAACCATTTTCAAGCAGGTTAACACTGAATTTGTGTCCCTGGCCACACGCAGCTTGGCCCCTACTGGAGCGATGGCTGAGGCAGAGAGTACACACTTCCTTCTAGGCATAATTCATAATACCAATAGCTGCTGTGATAGACTGAAAGCAATCAGCGGACACTCTCAGCCAATCACAACCAGCCATGGCTGCTCAGGCTAATGCTGCCTCATTAGGCCCAGCACACTGAGGGTATGGGGGGCTTTGGACTTTCATTTATCATTAAAACATTGTAATACTGAATGGAAGCAAGGTGCCAGGGCACTTCGGATACTATAACCATTTCAATGAGGTGAAACAGTTACACTGCCTAGCCCTAGAGTGTCCCTTTAAGATTAGATTGGACTTAACTTGGCATAATATCAGACATTTCCCAGCATCATCCATCCTAACACCTAGCACATCTCAACTAAAAAAAGACCACTCAGGGAAAATTTTCGGTTCCTGAACCCCTCATCCCTCCTCCCCCAACCCCCACCACCAAATAAGTCATATTGACACACCCATCAACTGCAGGCCTTGAATAAATATCACAACAGCCCTGGCCATGGTCAAACCTGATTGGACTAGAGTAATATATATATATATATATATAAAATTATATTTTATTGGGCTAACGGAAGCTGTAACAATGAGCTTTAGAGAACTGCTACATTTATCAAGCCACAAAAGCGTGTATTTGCTAGACAAAATTGTATTACAAATTACTGCTAATATGCTTATGCAACTACTCAAAAACTAGTCACTGCATCTGGTATGTTTATCTGGATCTGTGTGTGTTTATTTTGTGTGTGTGTGTGGGTGTTTGTCTGGCTGTGGTGTGTGAATTTGGCTGTGTGTGTATATAGCTTTGTGTGTGTATCTGGTTGTGTATCTAGCCGTGTGTGTTTATCTGCCTGTGTTTGTGTCAGTGTGTGTATCTGGCTGTGTATCTAGCTGTGTATGTATCTGGCTGTGTGTGTGTGTGTGTGTGTGTGTGTGTCTGGCTGTGTGTGTATGTATCTGGCTCTGGTGTGTGAATTTGGCTGTGTGTGTGTGTATCTGGCTGTGTTTGTGTCAGTGTGTATCTGGCTGTGGTGTGTGAATTTGGCTGTGTGTGTATCTGGCCGTGTTTGTGTCAGTGTGTTTCTGGCTTTGTGTGTGTATCTGGCTGTGTATCTAGCTGTGTGTGTATCTGGCTGTGTTTGTGTCAGTGTGTATCTGGCTGTGTATCTAGCTGTGTGTGTGTGTGTGTGTGTCTGTGTATATCTGGTTGTGTGTGTGTATCTGGCTATATGTGTCTATCTGTGTGTATGTGTATGCACATCTGTGTTTCTGTGTATCTGTGTGAATGTATACCCGTGTATGTGTACCTGTGTGTGTGTGTGTTTCTGAGCCTGTGTGTATATATATATATATATATATATATATACAGTGGTGTACACACAACCCATGGGGCCCCGGTGCAAAACTGATCCGTGGGCCCCCCATCCCTTCCTCCCTATCCCCCCTAACAGACACACACACACACATACATACAGACACACATACATACATACATACATACACACACATAGACACACACACACACATACATACAGACACACATACATACATACATACATACACACACATAGACACAGACAGACAGATACATACAGACACATACACACATACAGACACACATACATACAAACAGACAGGCACACATACATACATACAGACCGACACATACAGACACATACATACATACATACAGACCGACACACACAGGCACAGACAGTACACACAGGCACAGACAGGCACACACACACATACAAAGACACATACATACAAACAGACAGGCACACATACATACATACATACAGTCAGACAGACAGGCACACATACACACATACAGACAAACACACACACAAGACACACATACATACAAAGACACATACAAACAGACAGGCACACATACATACATACAGACAGACAGACACACACAGACAGGCACACAAACAGACAGGTACACATACATACAGACACACAGACACATACATACATACAAAGACACATACATACAAAGACACATACACACATACATACAGACACACACAAGACACACATACATACAAAGACACATATACACACACATACAGACAGACACACATACAAAGACATACATACAAAGACACATACATACACACATACATACAGACACATACAAAAAAACAAACACACACACAAAATGTTTAAGTCACCCTCCTGTTTCCTACCTTTAGCTGCAGGATGGTGACATTCCCTGGGGTCCAGTGGTGTCTTCCTCCCGTGCGGCTCTCTGTATGCTGGGAGGAATGACCTGCTCTGACAGCATGGGCCACCCGATGGACCCCTTGGCCACGGCGCCGGGGCCGCAAAAGATGGTGGCGGGTACCCGGTCGCAGGGGTCCGCAGGGCGGACGTGCCTCCTGGAGGGACGGGCCAGGTCGCAGCTGCGACTCCTGCGACCACGGTATATACGCCGCTGTATATATATATATGTGTCAGTATGTGTAAGTGTATATCTATGCGTGTGGCAATGCATTCATCCCAGCATTCCAATGCCAACACTGCACACACATATGCTAACACTGCACACAAATACACCCCTGCATTCCAACGCTAACACTGCACACAAATACACTCCTGTGTTCCAACAACATTGCACACAAATGCACCACTGCATGTGTGTCTGTGTTCCTGTGTGTGTCTCAGTGTGTGTAAGTGTGCGTGTGTGTGTATGTGACAATGCATATATCCCAGCATTCCAATGCCAATACCGCACACAAATACACCCCTGCATATATACCTATGTGTCTGTGTGTATGAGTTTGTGTACATATTTGTGTCAGTGTGTATCTCTGTGTGTGGATGTGTGTATCTGTATGTCAAAATGTGTATCTGGGTGTGTGTATGTGCTAGTGTGTGTGTGTATATGGCATTGTGTTTGCGTTAGTGTGTGTTTCTGTGTGTCAAGGTGTGTGCATGTGTCCAGGTGTGTGCATGTATCAGTGTGTTTATGTGTGTATCTGCGTGTCAATGTGTATGTATATCTGGGTTAGTATGTATGTGCATACATCCAGGCAATCAAAGACACCGGTGCAAACACAAGGGCCCAAACAAATGCTTGCCCAGGGTCTAAATGATACTAAAGACGGCCCTGGTCTGTAACTGTGTTTTTCCCAGGTTTCAAAATCAACATTTCAATCTCTTATCTATCAGTTTAGTCATTCAATGTTTCTATTATCTTCTTACTGGTCCTGTAATACCATTGTTGTGCTCTGATATGGTGTTGCACCATTGTGGGATATTTCCCATTACGTCACCCGACTCTTTATTTATAGATTTAAAACTTCTAGTAATCTCTTGCATCAGGAGAAAAACTCTGGTACTCTCCTATACCAACTGTTTTTGAAAAGACATGCTGGCAAGTACCCCATAATAATTCATAAATGAGTAAAAACTATACAAACTATGTATAGTTGTGCACAAAGAAACATAGAATATGACGGCAGATAAGAACCATTCGGCCCATCTAGTCTGCCCAATTTTCTAAATACTTTCATTAGTCCCTGGCCTTATCTTATATCTAGGATAGCCTTATGCCTATCCCACGCATGCTTAAACTCCTTTACTGTGTTAACCTCTACCACTTCAGCTGGAAGGCTATTCCATGCATCCACTACCCTCTCATTAAAGTAATACTTCCTGATATTATTTTTAAACCGTTGCCCCTCTAATTTAAGTCTATGTCCTCTTGTTGTGGTAGTTTTTCTTCTTTTAAATATAGTCTCCTCCTTAACTGTGTTGATTCCCTTTATATATTTAAATGTTTCTATCATATCCCCCCGTCTCATCTTTCCTCCAAGCTATACATGTTAAGTTCCTTTAACCTTTCCTTGTAAGTTTTATCCTGCAATCCATGAACCAGTTTAGTAGCCCTTCTCTGAACTCTCTCTAAAGTATCAATATCCTTCTGGAGATACGGTCTCCAGTACTGCGTACAATACTCCAAGTGAGGTCTCACCAGTGTTCTTCATATGTATACATTGTGATCATGCAGGTTGAGAACATAGGTGGTAAAACTCAGCTGACGTTTCTTCCCATTCTTGTGAAACTTTTAAATAGATCACAAAAAACAACAACAAGTAGGTATAAGGTGGTGGTGATGGTATGGGTAATTAACAGCCATTAGAGACATTGTAAACATTACAACTTCTTACAAACAGCAAAGTTTACATCTGTCAGAGTCTTTGCACTAAAACATTAACAGGGTTATTTACTAAACTGAGAAAGTTAATTCAATTTAAATGTCAAATATAAGGTTAAAATAGCCAAACTAAAAATTCTCCAAGTTAGCTATGTGTTCATTGCAGCTATATTGGTCTTAAATTTAAAATTCACTTTGAATTCGCATTGATTCCTCCCTTTAGTAAATAACCTTGTAAAATCGAGTAGTTTTGGTGCTCTAGTGTCTAGTACAGGAATGTTTATTATTGGCACTTTTTATTGATACCTTTTGATTACCTGCAAACTATACATAGGAAGCCTTGTAGTGTGCACAGTAATTTTAGCCAGATGCGATAATATGCCATCACATTTCTTTCCTCCAAAATATGTGTTGTAAATGCGCTATACGCTAATTCCAACGTGAAATAATGAAAGTGATTATTGACTTAGTGGGTGACATTGTGACAATGGGTGGATACTGTATTGATGTGCATTATTACGAAGATTTACCATGCATTAACAGCAGCTATTGACCTCAAGTTAGAGAGATTTATAGAAGTGTCAGGAACAGTAAAGTGATGCAAAGCTGCAAAAGTGTCCCGAATTCATTTCCCCATGTTCCCATGAGTTCATTATTTTCCTTAACCAGAAATTACTCCTGAATTTGCATTATGTAGGGCATTTTCTATGGGTTTTGCTCAGAAAACATAAAGCATGTGTAGGTGTTACTAGGGTAAATGTCACGAAACAAAATGCAAATAAAGAAAGTAACTACTAACTGCTGTTGTCACGCTAGACAATTTACAGTAGGTGAAGGTGCTCTGAATTAGTTGAATAAATTGCATGTTTTCTGTCACTGAAGGAAAAGTCATAAGCCTTGAACACTTTGTTAGGGATTTCTAAGTAAAATGTATTGTCTAGGAAACCAATGTCAGGTGCATAAAACATTCATATTCTACGTGGCTTAAATCTTTGAGTTGGTTATAGCAGTTCTTTTGGGGCTCCTGTCATTATAACAGGGTGATCCTACAATCCTGCTTAAAACATAATTCTAGATTATTACTTAATGTGCTATACTTCAGTATCATCTAAATAGCCAATAATTACATAGCAGCCAACCATGCAGCCACATATTTTATACATTTTTCTCAGTTCTTCAGTGAGGGATTTACACTTTTTATTACATCCATTTGCTCAAAATGAAAACACATTTAAACGTCATAATTCTATTATCATGGTCCATTTTTATTAATTTGCATTGGAGATCTTTTGCAATACATCCCAATCAGCTTTTAGTGTTGGCAGCTGGTAGTTTGGCACCCCCTAATGGTAATGAGATCCTTCACTCTGCTAGATCCTATCACTTGAAATAAAATGTACTTTAACTTTACTGTATAAAAGGTTTGTGTATGCATTTATATGTTCAGCAGGGGTTACTGTCAGTTATCTGGAAGCACACTATATATGTAAATAGAAAAAAGAACATTGGGCTCATTTATTCTGTTAAAGGAGGACTAAAGATGTGGCCTGGGTGCAGTGACCCTGTCCTTGTAACAATGTAAATGTAGCAATGTAAATTTTCAGTTTTTTAATCATACCGGCAGCCACAGGAGGGGTTCCGTGGCACTGATTGAGTAAATCTCTGTCATGTGACATGAAAGCCCCAATAGGAAAGCATTGATTCCATGCTTTTCTATGGGGCAGCTTGGATGACACTTGCCGTGTGTGCACACTGGATCCCCAGTTATCCCTTAATGAGGTGCATTGGATTGGACATTGGCAGAGGAGGACATGCCTCCTCCTTGACATCACAGGAGGCGGAGAGATAAGCACAGAAAAAAATTAGGCAAATAATTTACTTTCACTATTTAATTTTAATATTTTATATGGCAAAAGTGGAGGGAAGTGATTTTTAATAGGGATAGTGACACAAACGCTTTAAAAATACAGCAATACAAGATATTTAAAACACAGCGTATTCAGCCCCACTATAAAAGAGGATTCTCATTTTTGTACTATATAAAGCCTTTAAAAATGTGTCTTTTACAAATAATGCTTTATCACAACTGGTCCAGTTTGTTTGAGGTGGGGGATATTTTTTCCAGCAGCTGCAATGATTTTTATTCAGTTTTGAAGTGTCTACACAATGTGACTGCTAGTTACCTAGTGGTTAAAATTGTACCACACCTGGTCATGTATATTATTTATTATTTTGGTTTATTTACTAAACCGGTAATTGTTTGATTGCAAATTTAATGTAAAAATAGGCAGAATGGAAATATAGTCGAGTTGGAGTTTTTACAGTTCTGATTTCAGATTAGACTAAAACATATAAACCTGGTGGGTAAACCTTTGAATAGCACCAAGTAATGTCCAGATCCCATTATGCTAGAATTTTTTTTTTTATTTTATTATAAAATGCTATATATATTCCTTGTCAGTGCCCTCACAGCCTGAAATAACATATCGTGCAAGAAAACAATAAACAAGGCAGTTATGTGTTTTTAAATATATTTCTTATTACTCTTCTATCACATGATACAGTTTATTCTCTAATAACCACATGCTTTACATTAGCTGTCAATAAGAAAAGAAAAATGAGACACCTAAGTAGTAAATCCCCAAAACAAAGCAGACAAATCTTTTCTACACACAAGACAGTTGCCATGTCAGACACAACATTGTGCTAGTCCCATTGTGCTATATATTACCATAGGGTAGGAACCATAAATGTTCAGGATGGACTTGTTCTAGTTTCTTGGCAACTGCAAGTGTCAAACTACAAACCATCTGTGTGCACATTCTGTTCATGGGATTGTAAACCAGTAACAGTGATAGAAAGGTGAAGGTGTATGCTGCTTTCTGTGGAGCTAAGTCCATTCTTAACAATCACTTAATTGTATGTGATGATTATTCTATTGCTTTTCTAGTGTCCAGCTGTTAAGGAGTATGGTTGAATAACCTTGGACCCCCTTGTGAAAACTGGTGAAGATCTTCAGGTCATGCCATACTTGGCTCACACAGCTAATCTTCAACTCGCAGGATTTGCTTTTGCCACCGTGGGCTGGGTTCTTAACTCAATTACTACTGGACTTGTCCAATGGAGAGTGTGGCATGTGACTAATACCACCGTTATAACCTCTGGCATTGCATGGATTGGCATTTGGAGAACATGTTTCTTCAGTCAGGTCCTGGACTCTTCAAACCAAGAAACCATGTTCTGTCAAGAATTCAGTGTCACGGACGCCTTTGTACCCAAAGAGATCTTTGTTGCTCAAGGTCTTATGGTTGTGGCCATTATATTAGGGGCAGCAGGAAAAGCTTTTTCTGTTCGGGCACTAAAAAACATTTATCAAGGATCATCTCATGTGCATTTTATTCGTTACTGGTTTACATTAGGAGGAATCCTGAATTTACTCTCTAGTTTTTGTATTATAATTCCAGTGGCTTGGAATCTCCACTCAGTTGTGAACAATGTTAGTATATATTTTCCAAGTTCATATGATATGCCATCTAGCCCAGAAATGCAGGAAGTTGGAGCTGGTATTGCGGTCGGAATAGTCGCCGCAGTCCTCCTATTCCTAAGTGGAATTTTTTTTCTCTCTTACAAGTTACCGGACAGTTTTGATTCTAAAGTTCATCCACTTTCCAAATTCTCAGACAATTTCAGCATATCCTCAGGGTTTTCTTCAAGATCATTAAGCCTTGCATCCCGAAACGTTTTTGCAGAACCTATACTTAACTGCGATGGGATTTCCAACAAAGCCTATGATTCAGAGCTTGATGACAAGCTGTGAATTTATGCGTCCTTTTGATATTTAATGGTGTGCTGTAATAGAAACTATTTAAATTAATATCACAGAATAACTGCAAGGACAAATGAAGAGTTTTCATCTTCAAGGAAAATTAAGTAATGTGTCAGTTTGAACTTCAAAGACCCTATATCTAATGTTTAACACAAAGACATCTTAAATACATTTAATTGGGATATTTATTGTTATTCAGCATTTTAATTTTGTGTGAAGTTGCTTACTGTATTGAAGTATTATATATAATACTGTACTGAGAAATCATATTTTTGTAGATTGCATGTTATTATTTAGTCAAAATGGTGTGTCAAAAAACATAATGTTTACAGAATAGCTACTTTGTGGGAAATTGCAATAACAATGTCTATGCCAATAGTGACACAGAGTGGTAGGAGCAATAAACATTTGCTTATACAAAGTAATAACGCTCACCAATCAAATAAATTATATATTTTTATATGTAAGTCTAGGCAAATACTTGCCAATGGGCTGATGGTACTCTAAACAAGACACGCATATTGCTATACATTTAGACTGTGGATATCTAACATTTTGACATATACAGCAAATTTAAGGGTTTATATAATTTTAACTAACAGAGTTTCACAAACCAGTTATTTTTGCGTCTTTTTTGCAATCTTGAATTTTTAATACAATACATTGAGTATAATTTGCAAACTTTTATGGTAATGCTATAATGGGATGTGTAGTACATTTATTTTCATCTGCTATCCCTTTATCTCTCTAGTACAGGCATAGGCAACCTTCGGCACTCCAGATGGTTTTGACTTCACCTCCCATGATGCTGTGCCAGCATTATGGGTGTCAGAGCATTATGGGGGATGTAGTCCACAACATCTGGAGTGCCGAAGGTTACCTATCCCTGCTCTAGTACTATATGTGTGGCTAGGACTGCATAAATAGAAACAAAAGTGATTTAACTCCTAAATATCAGTGTATTGAGCCAGCAGAGCTAAGATCTATACACCATAACTGCTTTCTACAATACATACTGTATAATATTGCCCCCCCCCCCCACCCCACTCCCAGTGTATAATCCGTTGGTGTAATTTTACACCCTGTTATGTCTGAGAGTCTACACTTCTATGTATATTGCATTGCTTTTGTACCAGAATTTTAGGTTAATTTAAGTATAGTTTTCGTAAATGATTTTAACTATCAATTAATAAAAAAAAATATTTTTAATACAGGTTACCAAACAAAGTATTCATTACTCAATTTCCCTAAACATCAAAAAAATATGCTTTATTGACGTTAATATTTCTTATACACCTTAATACAACCTAAGAAAGTCTATTTTCCCTACACAAAAAATGGAAATAAGCTCTCATTGAAGCATGTGTGCAGGTTTAATTCCATACATTTTAAGACAAGCTCTGCAAAGTATAGATTTAAAGATATAGGGCTAGCTAGATTCTATAGAAACTTATCTTTTGTAATTGAATAGCAGTTCTCCCTGTGACTTGTATATGTAAAATACTACTCAGTTACAAAATATGAGCTTAACTCATTTTATAGAATCTAGCCCATACTTACATGAAAATCATTTCTGCTACTTCCACAATATTTCTTCTGACCATAGGGATGGTGAATGAGCCAAGCAAATTCATGGTCTTAAGGCCCCTGTTTAACCCCTGGGCTCTAGATGGCTGTCTAAGTTCACCCTATGGTTAATCCTGCTCTAGGCACAGCTTGTGTACATGTTTTTCATTTTTAATAAAGCTGAACATTTGCTAGCAGTTTGCCTAGAACAATGTATGTATAGAATTAGAAGCACAACACATATAATTGGCATGGCAGAGTAGTTTTAGGTACCCTACATGATGTTTCTGTGGTACCATATTGGAGGACAATCAAAGTGATACAAATGGTGGATAAACTGCAAGCTGCTAGTCTTGCAATCAAGAGCCACTGGCATCAGGGCCGGACTGGGAATTAAAAGCAGCCCTGAAAAAAAATCTATTTACCAGCCCCATAATGCGTCGCGCCAGCATAGTGTGCAGATACAGAGTTAGAACAGATAACTTTAAAAAGTAAATTACATTTTTTTTTAAAAAGTACTCCAACGTAAAAAGGTCATAGGCTTCAAAATAAACAAAAGTGCAGATTTATTTTAAGCAGACGTGGCTTTGCATGTAATCAATGTTTCAGTCCAACTACCTTGACATATTAAGGAAAGCTTGTTAATGGGATTGAAATGGTGAATGTATGTAGGGCACAACTGTAAACATTTTTTATTTTGAAGTCCTGTGGGTGTGCTCTTCACTGTAAATATGTTATTGTGATTGAGTATGCACCTAGCAACAAGACTGGGCCAATATCTGCTCATTACATATGGTACATATTAATGACATTTCTCTGTGTATTATGCATATATAAATGTACATTAATTTGTGTAAATATAATAGGCATAATATATATAGAACTAATACACACATTAATATACATGTCATATACCAGAGCCTGATCCCGTGAGGGGCACTTGTAGATTATTTAAATAAATATTCCATGCACAATAACCACTACTCCTCTGTGTAGTGGTTATGGTGCCAGGAGTGTCGGGACCCCTCCCAGAGTAAGTAGTCAAACCGTTTAAGAACAGTTTGACAACTTACCTGGAGTCTGCTGGGATATGGGGCTGTAGTAGGGTATAGGAGCAGTGGTGCAATGTGTGTGAAAGGTTCAGTGTGTGGGTGTGTGGGGGCAGAGTGTGAATGTGTATGGCGTGTGTGGGGGCAGTGTATGAATGCGTATGGTGTGTGTGTGTGGGGGCAGTGTGTGTATGGGGCTAGAGTTCACTCTCACTACCGCGACCACCAGGAAGTGGTGAGAGTGAACTCTAGCCCATAGCTCCAGTGCTAGAGTTCACCCTTGTGAGAGCCGGAGCGTTGCCCCGGGTCCTCTCTTCCTCCCCTGCCAGCTGCCCGCATGGTGCCTGCGGAACGGGGAGGGAGATTGGCCGGCAGGGGAAAGCCTCATGGGGAGGAATTGCCCCGTTGCCCCCCCATCCACCAGTGAAATATACTGCCCCTATGTGTGTCTCTTTATCTCCAGCCCCTCTGTGTGTCTTTTTGTCTCCCCCAGTCACTCTGTATGTTTCTTTCTCCCCCTCACTGCTCCTCTGTGTCAATGTCTCCCCTCTCCTTCCCAGTCTCTCTCTTCCCCCTCTGCCTCTTTCTCCCCCTCCCCTTGTGTGTCTCTCTCATTTCTCCCTCTTTGTCTCTCTCTTCCCCCTCTGCCTCTTTCTCCCCCTTTCCCTGTGTCTCTCCCTCCTCCACATCTCTCTGTGTCTCTCCCTCCCCCCTTTCCCTGTGTCTCTCCCTCCTCCCCATCTCTCTTCCTCCCCCCTTTCCCTGTGTCTCTCCCTCCTCCCCATCTCTCTTCCTCCCCTCTTTCCCTGTGTCTCTCCCTCCTTCCCATCTCTCTTCCTCCCCCCTTTCCCTGTATCTCTCCCTCCTCCCCATCTCTCTTCCTCCCCCCTTTCCCTGTGTCTCTCCCTCCTCCCCATCTCTCTATTTCCCCCTTTCCCTGTGTCTCTCCCTCCTCCCCATCTCTCTATCTCTCCCTCTCTCTCCTATCTCCTCTCTGTTTTATTCCTCCCTAGAGGAGTCGGGGGCCGGCCGCGTTCCAGGCTGGAGCCGCCGGGCCGGGTGGCAGCTTCGCCGGTCCGTGGCACTGCTGTTGCTGATGGCTGAAGGAGGAGGAGCATGTCTACCAACAGGGCCGCCATCAGACATTTTGGGGCCCCTGACAAAGCACAAGGTTTGGGCCCCCCCTCACTCCCGGGCCCGCCCACGCCCTACCTGGTCCGCTGACAATGATGCAGGACTGAATGTGGTGTGTATAGTGGAAGTGAATTAGAATATGTGTAATGGATGTAGTGTTTGTGTGTATTAGATACTGTTTGTACAGTGAATGCAGAGTGTGTGTTTGTGTAGCGGATGCAGTGTGTATAGTGAACGCAGAGTGTGTTTGAGTAGTGGATATACTGTGTGTACAGTGATGTAGTGTGTTTTGTGTAGTGGATGTAGTGTTTGTATGTACTAGATGAAATGTGTTTAGTGGGTGCAGTGTCTGTAGTGGATGTAGTGCATGTATTGGACGCAGTGTCTGTGTATAGTGAATGCAGAGTGTTTCAATGTGTGGTGGATGTAGTGTGTGTACTGTGAATACAGGATGTTTGTGTAGTGGATGCTGTGTGTACAGTTAATGCAGAGTGTATGTTAGTGTAGTGAATGCAGAGTGTGTGTCAGTATAGTGAATGCCAGAGTGTAGTGTTGCATAGTTAGTAGTGAATGCAGAGTGTGTCAGTGTAATGAATGTAGTGTGTAGCAGGATGCAGAGTGTGCGTAAATGTGTAGTGAATGCAGAGGGTGTGTTAGTGTAGTGAATGCAGAGAGTGTGTTAATGTGTAGTGAATGCAGAGAGTGTGTTAGTGTGTAGCGGATGCAGAGTGTGTGTTAGTGTAGTGAATGCAGAGTGTGTTAATGTGTAGTGAATGCAGAGAGTGTGTTAGTGTGTAGCGGATGCAGAGTGTGTGTTAGTGTAGTGAATGCAGAGAGTGTGTTAGTGTGTGGCGGATGCAGAGTGTGTGTTAGTGTAGTGAATGCAGAGTGTGTTAATGTGTAGCGAAACAGAGTGTGTGTCAGTATAGTGGATGCAGTGAGTGTGTTAGTGTGTAGTGTAATACAGAGTGTATGTTGTATTAGTGTATGCAGCGTGTGTGCTGTATTAGTGTATGCAGAGTGTGTGTGTTGTATTGGTGTATGCAGTGTGTGTGTTGTGTTAGTGTATGCAGTGTGTGTTGGGTTAGTGTATGCAGAGTGTGTGTGTTGTATTGGTGTATGCAGTGTGTGTTGGGTTAGTGTATGCAGCGTGTGTGTTGTGTTAGTGTATGCAGTGTGTGTGTTGTATTGGTGTATGCAATGTGTATGTTGTGTTAGTGTATGCAGTGTGTGTTGGGTTAGTGTATGCAGCGTGTGTGTTGTATTAGTGTATGCAGAGTGTGTGTTGTGTTAGTGTATGCAGTGTGTGTTGTGTTAGTGTATGCAGTGTGTGTGTTGTGTTAGTGTGTGTGTTGTGTTAGTGTATGCAGTGTGTGTGTGTTGTAGTGTATGCAGTGTGTGTTTTGTTAGTGTATGCAGTGTGTGTGTTGTTGGTGTATGCAGTGTGTGTGTGTGTTGTGTTAGTGTATGCAGTGTGTGTTGTGTTAGTGTATGCAGTGTATGTGTTGTGTTAGTGTATGCAGTGTGTGTTGTGTTAGTGTATGTAGTGTGTGTTGTGTTAGTGTATGCAGTGTGTGTTGTGTTAGTGTATGCAGTGTGTGTTGTGTTAGTGTATGCAGTGTGTGTTGTGTTGTGTTAGTGTATGCAGTGTGTGTTGTGTTAGTGTATGCAGTGTGTGTGTGTGTTAGTGTATGCAGTGTGTGTGTGTTAGTGTTAGTGTATGCAGTGTGTGTTGTGTAAATGTGCAATCTGGGGGGGAGGGGGAGGAAGGGGCATTTTAACATAAATTTTTAATTAATTTAATTAAATGTTTCTCCCCCCTCCCTGCTTACCTGTATCTAGGGAGTGGGGAGCTTCCATCTGTGGTGGTCGGTGGGTGGGATGGTCGGTGGGTGGCCCCCCCGGCTCCCTGTTACCGTCCGCAGAGGGGGCCCAGGCAGCACACAGCTTCTCCTCTTCTCATAACTCTCGCGAGACCCGCGGAGCGTTACCATGGTAACCGGGTCTCGCAAGAGTTATTAGAAGAAAGAAGACAGGAGGAGAAGCTGCTCCTGTGCTGCCTGGGCCCCCTCTGCGGTAACAGGGAGCCGGGGGCCCGCGGCTGCACACATAGATAGCGATATTCGTTATCTATGTGTGCAGAGAAACAAAGTGGGGCCCAGGACTGCCACAGCAGTCCGGGCCCCCCAGGGCCGCCGGGCCCGTGACAACTGTCACGGTTGTCACCCCCTGATGGCGGCCCTGTCTACCAATGTGCGCAGCCCTGACTGGCATTGTCACATT